GAAGTGGATACAGGCTTAATGTAATTGATTAGATGAGCGTTTCCGCTTATCGCCTCCTGAGGGAATGCTGTTACGTTTGTGTCGGCTTGCCAGTCTCTAGACATCCGGAACATTTTATTGGCTTCTGTACCATCTGAGAGCACAGCCACCCGAACATCGTCCGTTCCTGCTTCACTCTTCTCCTCCTCCCCTCATCGCTCGCTGCCTCCCTCCGTGCACACCCGTCGGAGGCTCAAATGCCTCCTTGCTCTGTCACCGCATAGCTTTCCCAAGGGTGCCATTCCCAGACGTCTTGGAGACACATTCGCCCTCGGTATCGTCGACCCGGGCAAAGCGAGACGTTAAGAGCCCTGGCCAGAGTGCGAAAGTTCTGCACACCGACAGATACCACTTCGGCCAGGAGGGGTAGGCACAGGTGCGCAAATCCCAGACTGCCGGTAGGTACAAATGGAAAGGCACACTTTCTGGCACAAAAGGGTCCGAGGCGGATGATCGACGTGCCGGTGGCCGTGGCACAGGTTTGGGCCTGAAGTGAGGCTGATAGGCTTGTCTCATGTGGGAAATTCACCAGGTCATCCCGAGAGATACCTCGACATGACGGTAGCATTTGCCGAAGCTCGGTATGAGTTGCTGAGTGCCTCCTCTACATAATTCCCTTTGTTGGGAAACAAATTACACTCTCCCACACTAGCTCGGAGATTGGAAGCCATTGCAGAAGTTTGCTCTTAGTTGCTACAGGCTTCAGGACGACAATAAAAGTCACATCTGGCCAGCATTGGGTGTTAAGGCCTCTTGTAGGTACTGATTAAATTACCAAAATATATAAGGTGACAATGTCATTGGCCCGAGTATCCTTTTGCAAGGTTTCACAAATACGTTCAAGTGGGTAAGATAAATATAAATAGCATAAAAAAGATGCAGAATGGCTTCTTCAAGCACATGTTTGAAGTTAGATTGTTGAGAAAGTGAAATGGGTAAAATAAAAGTTGGCAGTCGAGAGAGATGACATGCGACACAAGTTCATTAAGGGATGAAACATATAAGCGATTATTTACTGATTCGCACAACATGTGCATGTTTGAGCATATTAAAATGCCTACCTCGAGCGAATTAAAATGGGTCATAATTATGAGTGACGTTGGTCAAGGGATTGACTTAACTTATCTCTTTGACGAGTTCGTAGCTTGGTACGGCGAATGGTGGGACTCACTGATGATGCCGACTACGATGCCGGCGAAACGTCTGAGAATGTACCAAGTACACGTTCTTATGCTGGGAATTATGATAAATAATTTGGCAGATGACTTCGGACAAGGTAGGTTCAACTAAGTCGCCCTGACAGCAAGACCAACTTGCAAAGACGAGGTCAACACACTGCTAGGTGCAATAAGGTTTATGTTTGTGTAAAGGATGGATAACATGCTAACTCTGCAGAGAAAAGTGTGTCTATAGATGATAACTTTATCCTATGAAAATTAGGCAATTCAGAGATAGATAAATACCTTAAAGAATAGAGTATTAACGAAAATTATCTATAGACTTAAAAAAGAGATAATTAGTGCACTTTATTTAATAGGTTTTAAGGCAGGATGGCAAAAAAATAGTGCAATAGACTAGTGAATTAATGAAATGCAAGATATACATATGCGCTAAGAAATACTTTAGAGAGCCTTTTTTGTATTATTTCTTCTTATGAATAGGCATGAACTGGCGAAAATTAATACATGAAAAAGTAGATGGAATTAATGAAAAAGAAAGTTGTAGTAAATGCTGTATATATTTATATGCTTATAGCAAGCAAGAGAGAAATTAGAGTAAGTTAAATAATTTTTTTCCGTATGTCAGTAGAGTTTCGAGACTACCAGTAAATAAGTAATATGTGATGTATTCACCCAAATTCGTTTAAGGTGATGAAGGACTGGTAGTAGAAATTTCCTACAATGGTATGAGTATAGCTGACATTTCCATTGAATTTCACATAGCCTTGCTTTCCCAAAAGTTGTTCCCATCCAGGATGGACTGCAGTTTCCACCTCGCATCGGTCTTATCAACACCCCCAGTTGTGTGAAATTCAATGTAAACGTCAGCTCTACTTATATCATTGTGGGAAAATTCTACTACTAGTCGTTCATCACCTTAAACTAAATATGGTGAATACATCTCATATTGAAGAATTTGCCCAAAAAGCTATGATTGAAAATGTAGTGGTCAACCACGGGTAAGGTTGGTTGGCAAAAGATGGGGATAGATAAACTAATTGTAACGATAAGGTAATTGAAATACAGAAAGTAGTATTGTACAAAATGTGGCTACAAATAAATCTGGATATAACCTCTAAGGATAGTCATAAATAATAAAAATAGAGTAGCAAGTACTTTATACGTAGCATTAGACTATGCTACTAAGGAAGGAAATCACTGTGCGCGTAGTGAACGCGATGGATCCTAGAAATAATAGTTGAGGCAGCAGAAAAAAAGTAATCACATATGTCGGAATATATTCAGAGCAGAAATGGATAGCAATTAGTTTTGGGATATAATAGGGATGAAATAAAGCAAAGCTATTTATTATAGTAATATGGAGAAATAATAGTGCAAGCGAAAATATGGTTATTCACTCAGGTATATACTTCAAAAAATAAGATTAACTTTACATACCAGGATGCCTATTTGAAGATTGATAGATACATTTTTAAAATGGTGGAAACTGAGGATTGAGAATCTTCACATTACTTGTTTCGCAAGTCTTTCGAAGAAAGTTGGCTAAACCACTCCAAGAATACAATATACTAAGGAGGATCTGATGTTTTTAGAACAACTCTTGTTTCATTACATTACCTTTCAAGTAATATAAGGCCATTACTTTTTAAAAGCATCCAAGGCTCTTCTCTAGAAATTCCAATTCGTCCCCTCACCTGTAAGTTCCACTCGACTGGCATCCATATCTTACCTACTCTTAGCTATTCTTATTTTTCCTTCCTCCTATCTCTTTTCCCAATCTTTACTTTTTTTCTTACTTTCTTAATCCTCTTCTCTTCTCCTCTCACTTCTACTTTGCACAACTATATTTTTCTTCACTGTTTGCTTCCCTTAACATTTCCCCATCCTTATCCTATCCACTTTCCTACTATGATTACTCCTGCTCAATTTTAGCTATTTCTCCTGTTTACCAGATGACATACTGCTCCCATTAATTTAAGCTTCACTTTGCATTCGCCCTACCATTTATTGTCCCTACCTTCATTTTTTAGATATGAAGAGAAACTGGGTGTTGATGAATTTGAGATAATTTTGTTAGGGGACGTTCAGTTCGTATAAAAGTGAAAGAAGAAGAGAATTGTTGGTCGATCTTACCAGATGAGGACGGATGAATCTCGTACTGCAGCCGTTTGGCTTTTATACGATATTCATGTTGACGCAGTCCACGAGACTTCTCCCTCCTTTCGGATGAAAACGTGCTGAGCTTTCGTCCATCATATGATGGACATCATCAGAGCTGGGTATCATTCTTGTGAAAGTATCACGTTAACACTATCTTACTTCTTATATAATTTCAATCAAGTCTAAAAATTACAAATTACAAACCTAAATTGATTGATATAGAGTGGTTTGGTTAATTTCCTTTCATACTAGTTCTGATATTTTTGCTCGATTTTATGAGTGTGCATATTTGTGCGTTTTAACGTCTATATGCAATACTGTTCCTAAATCAGACTTGTTAAATGTTAAATCTCAAGTTCTGATCCTCAAGACTCAATAACCCAAGAGAAAATCTTTGACCGAGACTGCCTAGGTCCGTAAATGAGTATGGTTGAGATAATTAAATATATGCTTGCAAGCAGGATAGTCCTAAACTCTCAGTCTATGATCATTAATATTTAACCCTCCAAGGAAAGGTAAGAGTGGGGTTGCCTAATCTGACATGTCTGGTTTGGTTAATGAGCTTACTCTAACATGTTGGACGAATGTGAGTGAAATTATAAACATCATTGAGCAGATAAATTGAGTCGCCTTATTTTTGACAGCGGCTCAACACCCTCTCTCTCTTTCAATCTATCAATCAAGCATTAGTAATTGCTAGGTATAACGACTAAGATGGTGTGGCCTTTTGTGTGGTCGCAGTCTCCTTTCGTTGAATAGAAGTTGTTTGACCCTGTTTTCGCAACTCGGTCATATTGGTAGGAAGACTTAAAGAAACGCACCTAGTCCGGAGTCCACTGTGCACATCCTTATTTACAGAGTAGGACCGCGGACGTGGTACATTCCCAGACGTTTCCCCGGCATCGTAGTCGGCATCTTCAGTGAGTCTCGCCATTCGTAGCACCATATTACAACTCGTCAAAGGGACAAGTGAAGCCCA